ATACTAATTAAATTGCTTATATATGCGAGTCCATGAATATCTGCAGTAGAAGTGGTTTTTGTAGTTACTGATTCTAAATTCATATGACACCAAAAGGTTAAAGGAAATGCATCGAAGAATGGTACTGGACGATTCTGTCCTACTGCTCTAGCACCAAAAAAGTCACCCCAAACAGGTTCTAAATTGCAACACCAAACATCTTTTGCTTCTGTCCATAAAAATTCACGATGTAATTGTCGAATTAATTCGTTCACTGAATTACTGGTAAATGTTGATGGTGCAGATCTAATATTATCTGTACCTACAAACACAAGAAACAAGAATGCATTAACAAATTAACATTTACAAATATATATATATATAAAAGATCTTGAAAAAATTACCTGCGCAATGTGCTAAAAATTTATCAGTCACAACATGAAAATCATTCTCTTTACTTGGGAATTCAGCTCCAAAAAACATTTGGCCCAATTGAAATGTGTTTAAACATTGTGCTAAGTCAGCTCTTGAAGATCTTTCCACCGATCGGACATTAGTAATCAATGCCCTAGAAGTCTGAATGTGCAAGGATTTAGGTCTATCTTTTTGATTCGGATAATCCTGCTGATTTTCAAAAACTATCTGAAAGTAATTATTAAAGCAAAATATTAAAATTAAAATTTAAAAAAAAAATATTAATATATATGCATATAAAAAACTCACCTTTGGAAGAATAGCTTCTATCTTTACATCAAAATACATAATATTTTTTAAATTTGATGTCTCATTCTTTTTCATAAGCGAATGATGCAGATTTAATAGAAAAGAATTAAACCAAAGGCAGGAGCATACATCAAAGTTTACTTGAATTGGATTTACTTGTACATAAAATTTTGGTGGTGGCACTATAACAAATGGAATATATATTTTTTTGTTTTCCGTACATTTAACTATATAATATTTTTAATAATTTTAATAATCAATAAAATAAAAATAAAAAAATGTTTTTATACATTTATGTGTTCTTACATGGAAAAGTGATATCTCCAGGATAATAGTAATAAATAAATTCTCCATGAAGAATAGTTAAATCTTCAGGAAGGCAGAATTTATCTCGATCTCCTAAACAAAAATATCGATTTAAATAGAAAATGTTTATAATATTTATTTTTTATTAACATGCTACACATGCTGAATAATCCCAAGTAAAAATATATTTTATCTAAAATATATATCTATGTATCATTGCTTAATGTTATTTATATGCATAAATTATTAATGAAATGAAGCTCCTCTAACATAATAATTAGAAAGAATATAGTAATAAAATAAATGTAATTCATTTATGATTGTATATATTAATGTATTGTTTAATGTATTGTTATTGTATAAAATTGTAGATTATGTCAATATATATATTTTTTGAATTATAAAAGCAAATAAATTTCTTAATGAACTACCTTCTGAGTAACACTCAGATGTTACATAAAAACAAGCACACAACATTTACTTGGTATTATATACCTGATGGACGTTTCTTCCTCGATTGAGCTATACAATTACCAAATAAAATAATTAATAATAATAATGTACTCTAAAAATTAAAAACTAGAATTCTCATAGAGCATAGTTAAGTATAAACTGTATTATAATAATAAAATCTTTTCTCTCGTGTTTTAAGAAAATATAATAACCTAATAATTGATATGAATTTATCCTATATTTAAACAAAAAATAAAAAATATTTTGAACATAAACAAGAAAAAAAGAAAAAAAAAAAAGAAAAAAAAGAGGAAAAAAAGAAAAAAAAAGGAGGGGACAAAAGAAAAAAAGAGGAAAAAATCATTATGAAATACCTGTAATAAATTCCTTTGGTATAGACTTGCGTGATGCGGTTGTTACTTTGAATAACGTAAAATCATCAATTCTAATGACTATACAAGTTGTCATTAATTTTGCAAGCTGCTCGAGAACATAATTTTTTACTGGATTTCCGCTAGAATATTGAAACTTTTTCTGTTCTTGAGATCCTACATTTCCACCCTGTGATTGACTATTTTTTTCTAAACTTTCTCCAGAACCTTTTGTAGCACTGCCTGCGCATTTGAAAGAAAAATATTACAATTACGAATACATTACAAATTTTTCTACAGATTTTTTTATATTTTAATTTTCAAACCTGTAGCATTTCCTTGACTTCTTGTTAATGGAGAATGTTGTGTTCTTCCAGAATCAATCAGATCCATAAATTGACTTCTGAAAGAACTCAATGATTGTTGTAACCATTGACTATGTGGCGTAGCATTTTCTCTATATTTAATCCAATCTTTTCTATCAGCCATTGCCAAATGATACGGATAGTAATCAATATAGAATTTGACTAAACATATTTGCAGAGCACCACCATCCTTTAAATCAGGATGTAATGATCTACCTGCTATTATAAAAGTGATATTATCATATTACTAATAGTAATTACTTTTTAATAAGAATAATTTTTAACTCACCACCAACATCATCACACAAATGTAGATCAATTCTCTGAGGCCAAAAGTGATAAGAAGTTTCTACAACATCATGTTTTGAAAATAATTTTGATATTGGTGTATTGAATTGATTTTTTGTTCTACTTCGTTGAGAGATTTGTGCTTGATATTCTGGTAAAACCTTGAAATAAGGAAAAACACAAATTTAAATTCATTATATAGAACGTCTTAATATAAATGTCATGCAAAGTAACTATAAGAGATTAAAAAAAAAATATATAACAATTAAAATAGTTATGAAACACACCTCTAACTTTCTAGCCGCTTTTGTTTTTCGTTCTAGTATAGTTGCTTTCTCTATGAGACCTCCTAAAGAATCTATGAAATGCAATGCTGCTTTTAATTGAGAGTCTGTTAAAACCCACAAGAGATCATCTAATATGAGTATCAATCTTGAACCCATAATAAAGCAATCTAATGAAAAATAATAATTTAAATTATATAAATTATTTAATCATTGTTATAAAAATTTTAATAAAATTTAACAATGTATTTCACCTGATATTCTTTTCTTTATAGTAATTAAACATCGTGCCTGATTAGTAAGTAAACGAAGAGGTGATAGATTTGTATCTCTAGTACTTTTAGCTTCTATTCTTACAGTCTGCCATACTAATTCTTTAAAAATCAACAATTGGCCACGATCTGGATCTTTTAGTCTTGTTGTTCTTAAGTCACAACGTTGCCATGCAGGTGATTTAGATTCAACGACAATGCGATTCATCTAAATTTTAATCAAAATAATTATATTTCATAATTATTATATGTGTAAATAATATATATATATAGTTTTACCTCTACAGATCCAATAAAAGCAGGACTTTTAAAAGTAACTGATACTTTATTAACAGTAACTGTAATGCCATCGATCACTTTATGGATAAGAGAATATTTTGCTGGACCTGCATAAGATGACAGGCCTTGATTGGAAGACATATTTCTTAAGTCTTCACATGTTTCTACTTCAATATGAACTTCATCCAGTTTCTATAAAAAATTGTAATAAATTTTTGTAATAAAATTTTATCAAATAAATCCTTTATCAAATTATTTATATAATAATGATAATAATAATAATAATAATAATAATTTCTAGAAATATTTTCAAAATAATAATATTACCAACAAAATAGGAACACTCTTTAACTTGGTCCATTGTATACGAAAAGAAACTTTATTGCACCAAGCATTCGTTAATCTTAACCATGACGGAAGTTCTAATAAATCTGTAAGAACAATTTCATCTAATTCTAAATTGGTTAACTCTCCTTCTCCCTTAAACGTACTAAAATTTATTTTATCAGCCGATAGATTTTTAGTAAATCTGTAAAATATGATAAAAATAGTCATTAAAAAGAGGTCAAATCTGATCAATCTTAATCTTAATAAAATAGAAAAATAGGAGTAATTAATTGTTTCTTTATTTTTCATTATATCATAGTAAATTATTTGGATTAAGAATATTTTTGAAAAATTTTCATTATTATAACCATCATTTACATCAGGTGAGTTCAAAATTATTTATAAAGAATAATCAAATTTATATTGTTAAAATGATTTTTTTAAGAAAATAATATTTTATTAGTAATAAAAAAGAAAGTACGATCACAATAAATAAATAAACTTTCATGAATCTTGATTGGAAAAAGTTTTTATATAATGTTATTTTTTTTTTTAATCATATATCAAAGATGGAACGATTTTATCTGACATCATACTAAAGAACAAGGAAATAAAAAATCATAATATTTTGAATACCTTGATAAGTGTTTAAGTAACTGATTTTTAATAATCGACACCATTTTTTAGATTTCTACTTAACATTTATGACGATTAATACGTCTAAACATGGTTAGTTTGACACATGGAGGAACAGATAAAAGAATTCCGTGCCAATGACTATCATGACCATAGACTCTTACAAGATCTTCGATCTTATTTCATGAAAATTAATTTAAAACATATATTAACACGTAACTATGCTCTTTATAATATTGTTTTTGTTTTTACAAATGAATAACGAATAATTCGTTTGAAGATAATATTAATAGAATCTATTAATAACAAACTAAAAGGAATATATATATATATATTTTTTTTTCTTCTCAACGTAATTTTTAATACAAATGTGTTTAATAAATTTATTTAGTTTTTTGTATATAGCTTAGCGATAACAAAAAGTATGACTTCGTCATAGCCACGTTGAAAGTAATACTCGTTTACAAAATTTCAATAAATACAACAATTTAATTGGTTAATACGTTAAATCATTTCCATGATTTTATCATTGATCTTCTTGTCTTTTCTATAATAAATATTTGCTTTAATATTTTACATAATGATCTGTATAATGATTATTGATCATTAAAGAATATTTATTATTTTCAAATAATGAATGAACAATAAAAAAAGAAAATATATATATATATATATATATATATATGAAAATTTATCAAAGTAGTTATATAAATAGAACACTAGAGTGCGTTATAATCAAATATGGTCGACATACACGTGGGTATTTAGATCGTACAACGAACCTTGAAAATTATTTAAATATTTTTACATTTAATATTAAAGTAAAAGTGTTATAATTTTAATCATTAAAATGGCAAAATCACGAGCAGATAATAGACCTCCTCGGAAAGAAGGTTTTAATCGTTCTGGACATAGTATGAACCCTGAGAGACCAACAGAAGGGTTAAAAGGTGTAGCAAAAATCAGAACAAAAGCAACTATAAAAAGATTGCAAATGTATCGTAATCAAAGACCTAAACGTAATCGTGTAGGTAAGATTATTAGTCCAGCACCATTTCAAGGTTGGCATGCACCAGGGACTATGTCTCGCGTTGAACCTTCTCAAAGATGGTTTGGCAATTCAAGAGTAATATCACAAAATGCACTTCAAAAATTTCAAAACGAATTAGGAGCAGCTATGAACGATCCTTACAAAGTAGTAATGAAACCTACACAATTACCAGTAACTTTACTTCAACAAAAGGCCATTAATGCGAGAGTACATTTATTAGATACAGAAAGTTTTGAAAGTGTATTCGGTCCAAAAAAAATAAGAAAACGACCAAACTTGGCTATTGCAACTTATGATGAATTGCAAAAATTAGCAGAAGAGAAAGAAGAAACATATGATAAGGAAAAGGATTCCAAAGATTATGATTTAATTCGAGAAGATACAGGAATGCGTGATATGCAAAGAGATTGGGTAATGGCGGCAGGACAAAGCAAGAGAATTTGGAATGAATTATATAAAGTTATTGATTCTTCTGATGTAGTATTACAAGTATTAGATGCAAGAGATCCTATGGGAACTAGATCTCCACCTGTAGAAAAATATCTAAAAACTGAAAAGGCGCATAAACATTTAATGTTCATTTTAAATAAAGTAGATCTTGTTCCAACTTGGGTGACGCAAAGATGGGTTGCTATACTAAGCTCAGAATATCCAACAATAGCATTTCATGCATCTTTAACTCATCCATTTGGTAAAGGTTCCCTTATTAATTTATTGCGCCAATTTGCAAAATTACACATAGACAAAAAACAAATTAGTGTAGGTTTTATTGGATATCCAAATACTGGGAAAAGTTCTATCATAAATACATTAAGATCCAAAAAGGTTTGTAAAGTAGCACCAATAGCAGGGGAAACAAAAGTATGGCAATATATAACTTTGATGCGTCGTATATATCTTATAGATTGTCCAGGTGTAGTTTATCCATCTAAAGAGACTGATACAGAAAAAGTTTTAAAAGGTGTAGTGAGAGTTGAACTCGTTCAAAATCCAGAAGATTATGTAAGTTCAGTTTTGGAAAGAGTAAAAGCTGAATATTTATGTAAAACGTACAAGATCGAAGGTTGGACAGATCACATTGATTTTTTGGAAAAATTAGCACGTAAAAGTGGAAAACTTTTGAAAAAAGGAGAACCAGATATAACGATAACAGCACGTATGGTTCTTAATGATTGGCAACGTGGTAAATTGCCATTTTATGTTGCACCATCTGGTTTTGAAGATCCATTACCTAAATCTGTAACAACAGAAAAAGAGAATGTTCTCATTGAAAATGATAAGAACACTGTGATTGAAACAGATCAACAAGAAGATCAAAGTATTTCATCAAAAGACTCAGCAAAAGTACAATTGAATGTATTACAAGATTTTAGAAAAATTAAAGTAGGATTGCCATACTCTGGTGATGATATAAAGGATATTTGTTATAGTCAAAGTGAATTAGAACAATTAAATTGTACCGACAATGAGATAGATGTTGAATCTTCTTTGCCAAATGTCAGTGACATAACTGATACATTAAACGAATCACAAAAAACAGATCCTGAGGAAGATAATAATAAAGAAAATAATGAAATAACAATAAATACAACAAATAGTATTCCCGAAGATAATATTAATGAAAGAAATGGCAATTGTTCCGAAGATGAAAGAAATCCAAATAATTCAGAGGATGAAATTAAAATACCTATAGAAAAAGATAATCTAATGCAAAGTGTATTTGATGTTGTGGAAAATGATTATGATTCCAGTGATAGTGAAATGATCAATTCGAAAACATTTTCAAGTAGTGGTACATTTACGGTATCATCTAAAAAGGGAAAACAGAATAATGAGGATAATAAAAAATTAACAAGTAAACAACGTAGAGCAATAGAAAGAGCTAACAAGAGAAAGAAAATAGGAAGCAACTTTTATGAAGTTACAAATGTAAAGAATAGAAATAGAAATAGAAAAGTTCCAAAAATAAAAAGAAAATAATAAAAATTAATACTATATTTATTTATTGTACATTTGTAATATAATATTAAATACTTCTTTTTATATAAATATTAGACATATTTTAATTAAAATTGTATATAATACTTTACTATATATAAATGAATTATATGTCGTTTCGTAAAATAATAGTTTTACGATAGAAAATAAACAAAAAACCTGAGAAGAATACGATTAAAATCATGAACTGAGCCATCATTAATAAAAATAGAGAAATTTTTTCTAAATCCAATTATGTTCGGCAAAATATAATACTAGACTTTGTAATCTTTTTGTAAACATTTCGTTACCTTCATAGCTTGTCATTACTGTTTCAATAGTAGAATTGTTCAAATTGGTTTTATCAACATCAATTGTAAGCATCTTTATCATAAAACATAAATGTATAAATTCAATCTTGCAGACTAATAGAAATTGCTCGTTAAAAGTTTTACGATCGAAAGGTTTAATATCGCACTTCATTTTTAATAATATAGAAATGAAAATTTCATAATATAAATCTGTGAGTTCATCGAGATTATTTTTTCGAACATTATCGTCTGTACTTGAATGTAAAAAAAACAATAATTCGCCTACCGGATTTGAATACATGTAATTTTGAAAATCGATAAATTTCACATCGTCCACGTGACCATTTTGATCACGATGAAACATCATATTGTTTACCCAAAAATCTTTATGAACTATCGTTCCCCATTCTCCTTCTGGTTCAGCTAACCATTCTTCAAAAAATGTTAAATCCTTTAATATTACTGCACATCTATCATAATAAATTCTCGTAGCTGGATTTTCTTCGAGTTTTTTTAATATAGGTATGTAAAACTCTGTAAATCCGTCTTTTATAAGTTCAGGACATTTAGAAGCTTCCCGGATTATATTATACTCATCAGGCTTGTTATGCTTCATTGCGATTCCAAGGGCATGAAATCTAGCCATTGCACGCACGGCTAGTTTAGAATGATCTAAATCGACGCCTATATTTTAGAAATAAAGAGAGAGAGAAAAAAAAGATAAATGAAGAATATTATTTGAATTTTTTGTTCTTTTTCTGTTTTTTTTTCTTTTTTTTTTTCTTTTTTTTTTCTTTTTTTCTTTTTCTTCTTTTTTTCTTTTTTTTGTAACCGGGATTATACATGATAATAAAAAGCATTTTTAAATTTATTTTATAAGATAAAATGAGTGATATAAATGATATCATGAATTATGCGATAAGAAATTATTATCGCGATCATTCTTATGCAGATAAAATATTTTGAACTTGACCCTTACATTTTACTTTTATTTATCGTTTTTTTTTTTTTTAAATAAAAACTGTATCATACAAAATTATCATTCGAATTAACAGAATTTTTAGAAAACAATTATTTTTTGTTGTAATTATTTTTTCTTTTTCTTTTTTTTTTTTTTTTTTTTTTTTATGTGAAACATAATAAAAGAATGATCGTGATCTACATTTATATAAATATATTTATATATTATATATATATATATATATATATATATATATATATATAATCTTTATATTCATAAATAATTCAAAAATTATATATTTACCTATTTCTCTTTTTCCAGTATAATAATCACGTATTTTAAGATTCTCTAATAAAATAACGGCATTGTCATCAAAATCTTTTTCTGGATCGAGAGATAAACGGGAACCGTAATATTTAGGTATAACGTCAAATAATTCATTTTCATCAACACCAAATTCTTTTTCCATAAGCCTATAATATGGTAGTAAATGTTCATACATAAATATTTCCTTTTTAAACGTAAATGGACTATTAAATACTCGTCTTTGGAATTCGGTCGGCGGTGCCATTTTTGCAATCATATGAAGATTTTCTATTTCGGCATTCTTTTCTCGTTTTATTACAGCATCGATAGCTAAAATAGTACTACCGTAATTCTCTCCAGGCGGTAAAAATGTGCTGCTCGTGTAATTTTCAACGATCAATTCATTACCTAACATTGATCGTAATAATGGTTCCAATTGGTATAAAGTTATTTCTTTTATTTCAATTTGTTCTTTTTGTTCTGTCTCCATGGTCATTCAAACGTAACAAAATAAAAAAAAAAAAAAAAAAAAAAAGGAAAAACAATTTTGATCGTAATCTTATTTTATCTAATGTAATAGGAAGACGTCTATTAAAATTAATATATTGAAAAAATAATTCCACTTATAATTTTTCTTAAACTTGAATATTATCTTGATATTATAACACGAAAAAATTATTACTGTCACATATAAAAAGAAATTACGTTTATACAGATCTCTGTCGAACGATCCGAGACAAATGATCTGTTGGTCGAGACTAAATCTTTTATCTACTTTTCTCGAGCGATATAACCACTTCTCTATTTGATACTCCCATTCGTCCTACTTTACGTCATTCGTAGAGTAGAATATGTTCATAATGATGTAATCATTTTTTAATGAAAAAAACATTTTCTAATTTCAATATCTTCAATATTGAAATATATATGAAGGAAATTTTTTTTCTTGATCAATTTATTATCAAAACCGTGATAATAAATATTTTATTTTCTCGTATTTACGTAATAATGAAGAAAAAAAAAAACAAAGAAAAAGATATATATATATATATCCTGATTCTGATGATTCATTCTTGCATCGTCAAGAATTTTTTAACAATCGATAAATACATATATTTGACAATGTGATAAAAGGATAAATTTATTTTATGAAAAATGGGTATTAACAGTATAAAAATATTGCACTTTTGTACAATTTGAAATTCTACTTATACACATATATGTATATATGTATGCATATAGATGTGTGCACATATACTTATATATAATATGTGCATATATATGTATATATATATATATATGTATATGTATATATATATATACACACATATATATATATATAAAACAGTAATACATAAGTAAACAGTTATGATACAGCATTGTTTATCACAAAAATATTTTACCATGGCAGTCTGAACTGAAATTTCAGATCAATATTTTCGAGTCCTTTTCACACATGAAGTCTTTTACATTACACAGGTATCGGTTATTGGATCAACGTAATCCATGGTTTGATTCTTCTATCAACTTGCTATGGATATCCCATAAATTCTGTAATAATAAAAGTGCTATTAAAAGTTAAAGCAATAGATTAATTATATCCAAGATGTCCCAGGAAAAGCAGCTCCCTTGTTGTAAGCTCCTTTATGGTGTAAAATAAAGCAAAAGATTCTATTAACATAAAGTTGAATAGACTTAATCAATATGAAAATTACACAAGGAAACGTAAAATAATAATATTTCTTCTTCTTCTAAATTAAGCTGAAATTTGTATGCATATAACAATTATTTTTAATGATAGTATATACATTAAATGATATCACTATGAAGCATGTAGGAGAGATTTTTGAGTTAGAATAAGCAACAGGTTTGGCAGATGTTATTTCCGAGGATTAATAAAGATAGTAATAAAAAGCATTTTATGTTAAAAATCAGCAATAATTTGCACCATTGAATGACCACTTTATATAAAAGATATTTAAGCAAGAAATATTGCATAGAAATTATATATTAATAATAATTTGCAAATGAAGAAAGTACGGGAATAACTACCGTTTTAACTGTCACTTATTGAACGACGTGGTATGGTATGTCCATCTTCTTCGATCAATTTACGATGTACAGCACTGAGACCCTGGATAGCACACAAATTGAATGCCAAACTAGTTATATAATGAAATGGAGGTGCAATGAGTAAAATCAACAATTGTGTGTGAAATAATGCAGTGAAATATTGAAACGTTTATATAACAAAAATAATTCTAAACTACAAAGTTCATTTGAAAAGCAACTTTCTATATATGCGTATACCTTAAAGTATTTTACTGTTTTTACACGCAATTCCAAAGTTGCATCTTCATCGCATATAATTAATGTACGTGGATGTTGTTGAAATGCTGACACTGTCCACATATGATTAACTCCTTCCTCTATTGCTTTATACAGAGCAAATGCTTTATGAGATCCAGTAATGAGTATCATTACTTCTTTTGAATCCATGACAGTGCCAACGCCAACAGTTAAGGCTTGTTTAGGAACTTTGGAAATATCATTTCCAAAAAATCTAGCATTTGCTTCCAATGTATCTTGCGCTAAAGTTTTAACTCTAGTACGAGATGCTAATGAAGAACCTGGTTCATTAAAGGCTATATGGCCGTCTGGTCCAATACCTATATATAAATATTATACTTTTTAAGAATTTATTTTACATAATAATGACGTTTATATATGAGTACAAAAATTTATTTAAAAAAATATACCTCCAATAAAAAGTTCAATTCCACCAGCTTCCTTAATTTTTTTTTCGAAATCATCGCATTCTTTTACAAGATCGGGTGCATTTCCATCAAGAATATGAACATTTTGAGGATTAATATCTATATGTTTAAAAAAATTATTATACATATAATAATGATATGATTCTGGATGATCTCTTGGTAAATCAACATATTCATCCATATTAAATGTCTTGACATATTTAAAAGAAATTTTTCCAGCTTTATAATATTCTATTAATTTCTTATACATTCCCAGAGGAGTACCACCTATATTTGTATATATACATAAATAATAAAAATTATAAATAAAAAATAAATATACATCAGAAGTAAAAAAAAAAAAAAAAAAAAGAATAATAATAAATAAAACAATTACCTGTAGGAAGACCAAGAACAAAATATTTGTTTTCATTTGGTTCAAAATCTTTAATTCTTTTTAAAACATATCTTGCAGACCATTCAGAGACATAGTCTACTGTATCACAAATTACTAAACGCATTGTAATTCCTTATAGGTTATACAGGTGATCACTGCAGTATATAAATAATAATATTATTATTATTATTACTATTATTTTTTTTACATATATATATATATATATATATATATATATAGTTATTTATATATTGTAACAATAAATTAAATAATAGCATGTACAAATATATATATATATATATATATATATACATTGTGTTATCATTTGTTTTCTATACTTAAAAAAAAATGAGATATTAAGATACAACAAAAAAAAAACAAATGATTAAAAGGACAAAGATTACCATAATGAATAATATATACTTAATATAATATATACTTAATGTAAGATATATTTAATGTGATATAATGTAAATTTATGGGCATGTCAGTGATAACAATATGACAATGGCTTCTTATCTTAATTAGATTATAAAACACATACTTTTATATCTCAAATTTGATAAATTCTATAAGATTTTGGATATCAGAAAGAAATTTAACTTTTTAAATATAAACAATGACGTTCGTATATAGATATCTTTTTAGATTGATTTGTTTAAAAAGAAGTTTAAAGAACAGTATATTATATATCTATAAATAATTCAATAATATTACATTTAGATTAAGATACGTATTTTGTTTTTATATGCATATATTATTCTATGTATATTTATATATATATATATATATATATATATATATGTATATATATATGTAGGATATATATAAATATAAATATAATCTTTTTAGAGATCAACTAATAATCTATTTAAAATTATATCGATTAGTATGATACTTTGTTGATAACGATATTTTATTGTTAAATTTATAAATAAATAGTTATAAAATGTGTTAAATTGATTTTGAAAATATAAAAATTTATATTTACCTTTGTTATACGTTCTTTCTACTAACTTTATGCTTTTCTACAGTTTGCCAGTCGTAAATCACTAAAAAGATACACTATTAATCAGCTGATAGACGTGATAAAATAAAATCCTACTACACTTGCAAAATATTACAAGAGGATTGGTCGAGCATCGTAATGCAAATATATATATATATATCATATAACATATATATATATACATGAACTTTTCATTATGGTAGTTCATTATCTTCGTCAAAGCTTATGTGACTTCAGCGACAGGTATGGACAAAATATGAACTACAAATGCAACCAAGGAATATGGTCTTTACCATGCGTTTATCGTATCAGTCTATAAGCTTATACATGTTATAAACCTCTCTAACAATTGGGTTAGTGTTGATTAAAAAAGATAGTTTAGTAGATAGTTAATTAGATCTGACAGATACGAGGAAATGCCGGTACACATTTATTTTACGATATAAATGCATATAGAATGAATAAATATAATTCATATGAAAATTATTATATACTTATATAATATATCAAATACTATTTAATATAATATATATATATATATATTTCTTTTTTTCTATTTCCTCTTCTTATCATTATTCTTATTATTATATTATTATATTATTATATTATTATATTATTATATTATTATATTATATATAATATATAATGGTATTAATAATGATACAAGATAAAGAGAATTACTTCTGCAGGAGAAATCACAAAAGAAAGAAAAACAAAATAGTAGAATAAGAGGGGAATTTTACTTTATGGTTAGTCTATATCTAATGTTTTATTTTTATAATAATAATATACAATATATAAATATATAATTTAATTATTATTTTTGATCAAATAAAAATGATCGGCAAAAATCTTAATTTTAATCGCAAATTTATATATTTCATATTTCTCCATAGAATTTTATTATATCCAATTTATTTATCTGTTGAAATATGATTGACAATGGAAAATATAAATACTTTTAACGTTTAATTAGTATTAGAAAGAAAAGATTTTGGAAAAGTCTTAAAATATACAATCATTCGTCCGATAGTACTTGCATTGTGTGATTTATAATTAGATTTCAATATATCGCAATTACTATTGGGTCCAGGTCTCACTAGGTGAAAGTTGCTGCATCTGGAGACTCATGGGTTAACGGTGATCCTATTCTAAAATCCACATTTGTGAGATAATCTAATTGAATTTTCGAGCAAATAAAACGAAAAGTCTTCGATAGGACTTTTAATCGCACCTGCGAACATGCACACTTGTGCCCTCTAACACGCGCTCATGTGTTCTCCTTATCTTTCTCGTATACTCGCGTAAAAATCAATGGTGAATTTTATTCCTTCGTGATATTTCGATGATCTTTCGATGATCCCTAGGAAAAGAAAAATAGAAAGATAAGAAATATGATAGAAAAAAGATGGACACATTGAATATCGCTCTACTCGATCAAAATTATAGTACCAAAATTGAACTCAATTTTTCCCCTATTGAAAGAAGGAGACCCACCCAAAGCTACTCTCAAGGCCATCTATTCAATACGAAAATTTTTAACTATTAAAATTTTTAAATAAAATTATTATAAATTTATCACGCGTCAGAATCTTTGTGACATTGAACATAAATGTTTTTTTATTTTTATCATTTGTCGAAAGATTGACCGACTATGTTATCGCAACTTGGCCGTGCAAGCATCGTAAAACATATTTTTTTACGCTTGGAAAGATTAAAAAAATCTGAGCATTAGCTATCTACTTATACAAACAATCAGATAATCGTTACTCAACGTTACGAACATATTCATTCAAGGCATTATATTTAAATCCAATTGGCATGGTACGAGTTTCTTCTCTTTTGCCGCAAAATTCAAAGGGGCGCCACTATACGTAATTTTGTGTCAGGAAAAATTGACGAAAATCGTATTTACATCAACGGCAAGTCCGGTTGTAATTCTTGACCGATTTTGATGAACAATATTTCGTTTTAAAGATGAAGGCTTAAGCAAAAAACCATGACATTTTCGAATTTTAAAAAAAAAAAACTTTATTCTTGAATGCATAAATTATTATTCTTAAAGGAACATCATTTTTTGATACGATTTTTTTTTCAAAAAAAATAACTTTTCTATTAACTATTGTAAATTAAATACATATGATAGGTAAAATAATATCAATAATTATTTTTATTTTAAATATTTGCTTTTACATTTATTTTCATTTTTTTGATAACATTATACATGATACTTGTATAGCGAATTATAAGAGATAAATAAATATTCAAAAACAAAATATCTTTAATTAGATTTTAATAATTTCTTGTATATTTATTAAAAATTGAAAGTTCAATATATTTGTTGATCTTACGTAATCATTTCTATTCTATTGATAATCAGTCATTCTTTACTGGAATGATATCATCATAATTAAACACAATTGTAAGACATTCTGTGCAATAATAGAATAATGTATTCTCAAATTGTAAAATACTGAAGGGTCTTAATGGAGAATATAAAGCATTTACCCTCTTATTGTTTTGAAGAATAATAGAATATAGACTTATGAGGAGTATAGGAATTATAACATGTTATAAACTATATATTCTTTTTTTTTGTGCAAAACGTAATATTCATTCAAATATTTTTGTCATGTCATCATTATAACACTAAGGAACCAATTATGGTTTTAAGGTCAAGTCTTTGCCATTAATTGATGTATTGCTATTTGGACACGCAATTCCACACAAGCATCCTTTTCTTCAATAATGCTACGTATTAAAGTTGTCATTTTTTTCTATATAAATAAAATATAAAATTACATTTAGTTGAAATATAATAAAGTAATAGAAAATAAAATTTGCAATAAAAAAGATATTTTATGAAAATACCTCTAATAATTGATTTTCTTTGGCTAATTGTATCATAGCTGTTATCTCAGCTTCATTTGGAGAATGAACTCTTTCTTTTGGTTTTGGTTTTTTATCTGGCTCTCGTTTTGTTATCATAAGAAGCATTTCTTTCAGTCGTTTAATTTCACTTTTTTCTTGAGTAATACGAGATTTCAACAATGCTTGCATATCTAATAACTCTTCATAAATTAAATTTTCTCTTAATTTAGCTATGGCATCCTCTGCTTCAGATTCTATAATTAACACTTCTATTAAATCTCTTATAATATATAAATGTGTTGTAATTATATGAAAAATTGTTAAAAAAAAAAAATATATATATATATATTTAATATACCAGTGTTATCTCCTTTAGATTCTTGTTCTTTATTTTGAATCATAACAGATGATTCAGTAGAATCTACCACATCTAATTCTTGAGAATTTATTTTTCTTTCATTTTGTATAATACTCGTATTCGATCCTGTACAAGTTGGACACTTATCCTTAATTTCTTCTACATTGTGGTGTAGATTATTTTTTTTTACAATCGAGTTAGACGACTTCAGTCCTTCCACTTTTAAAAATCCAGTTTCTTTTTCAATAACTTTGGTTTTTTGTAAATTTGGATCTATGGAATTCTCATCACTAGATTTTACTTCTTCGTCCAAACTTTTTTGTGCTGTGCCTTCAAGTTTCTGAACTGTTTTATATTTTCTCTATCGATATATTTGGTAATAATTAAAAATTAAATCCTTCTTCATTATAACTACTTTTAAACAATTTACTTTTTAATCGGGAAATTTTACCTTTAATTGCGTTATCATACGTTGTACTTCCCATAATTCTTCTTCTTTTGATTTTGTAACAAAGCCTGCATTCATTTGCATATGAATTTGTGACAATAATGATTCTTGCTTTGCTAATTCAGCAGCTATACTTTCTACAGTTTCTGGTAAATTCGTACTACCAGACGAAAGTGGTGGAATGTACTTTTTTAATTGTACATCAGGGAAAAGTGCTTTGCAATGGAAAAGTAAGGCAGATAATAACCTGTGACTCATTTGTAAAACTGGACTTAATGTCATGGATATTGTCTGGGCATTCATTTTAGTAGTTTTTTCCTAAAATAAAAACAACCTTTTAGTCTATTTATATCAGATCTATTAATGTCGTGATTTTCAATTGTCATATAACGTACACGGGCTGCAACATGATCTAAATGTAGAGTAACCCATGCGAGAAGAGTTCTATTGCATTTTGGTAATTGATGTGTTAATTGAAGTAGTTGTGACTCCCGTTGAGCAATTTCTTTTGTTGATGCAGCTTGTTCAAATCTTGATATTGTCTCACTATTCTCTAAAACAGGCTCTGGCAATTCTCTGGATCGCCATTATGTGAGTTTTGGGATATCGGAACTTGAAACAATATGTAAAATAAAATTTTGATATACAAACCTAAGAAAAAGTACCAATAAGCTTGTAGCTACCGTAGGTTCAAATTCTGATATATTTACAGTTTCTCGCTGATTATAAAGTTTCTTTAAATTTTGAATTTTAGATTTTACTCCAGGGATTTTATACAGGCATTCTATATTCATACCATGTTCCTCAACATAGTCAATACAATCGCGTATAACTAATGGTAATTCAATTCCATCATGACATCGGCTTCTTTCAACTGCAAGACTTAAACTGACTCCAAAAATTGGTTGCTCCTCTGATACAAATGAAATATATATATATATGTATGTATGTATGTATATATTAATTTTTCATTGATATTACTTGGTATATTTTAAACAAAGATAAAGCATAATAATTAAAAAGACATATTTTACCGCCAATATCTAAACCCTCTTCACCAGTATGTTTTCCCTTCTTTCTATCTTTTAACTTTTGCTTTGATTTATCTTTATCTTTGTCTTTACGTTTATCCTTCTCTGCATCTTTATCATCTTTATCTTTCTTTTTTTTATCTTTCTCCTTTTCAACATCTTTTTCCTTTGCCTCCTTCTCTCTAGATTTCTCACGTTTTTCTTTCTTTGAAGGAAATTTAAAAGCTTTGGTTTTTTTTGATTTTGAAGGACTTCTATGAAACATATTAAATATAACATTGTAGAAGAAAAATTTGATAAGGAGAACAATTTTATTATGCTTGTGCATATAGAATTAAAACTCTAATAATGAAATACACATTTACACCACAGATGAGAACTAATATAAAAAATAATATTAAATCACAAAAACTTGAGATCAG